CAAGCGATTGTGTTGACGGTTCTTTTGCCTCAATGAAAAAGACTTTAAAATTTCCAAAGTGTAGAGAAAAGAAAAATTAAAAAAAGGAGTGAGATGGAGAAAGATGATTGAGTGAAACTATTAATTTATCTCTACTCCTATACTTAAAAAAGAAAATGCATAAAATAAAGTGCAGGAAATTAAGTGCATGAAATACAAATGACAAGAAAAATAGAAATCAATTGTCTTTGATTTGAGTTATAGATCCTTTACAATGTAGCCATGAATGGATATTTGCAGGTAAACATTTGTAGAAAAAAACTACCTACTACACTATTCTCCCATTTTCATCCTTGTCTTGCCATGTGTCTCTCTAACTTCTCCACTTTACTCCATGTTCTTACACGTTATGTTCTATGATCCTCTACATTCTTTATCATCTTTTCACATGTGTTTAATGATTCATAACTTTTCATAACCTCCAAATGAATAGGAGAGTGTCACATATCCTACAATTTATCAATAATAATAATTATAATAATTACAGATTTATGATACTAACAAATGTATAATGTCTTACCACTTTCTGACCGAAGTAATTGAAGAAAGTAAATAATGAAGAATGTGATTGTTACAAAATAAACTAGTAGTTAGCCCAATGACCTACACGGTTGTATGTATAGTTAGTTCTTATACCATTTGTAATGTCCAAGAAAGTGGGTTTACTACTGAACAATGCTTAAGCCAAATTATTTAATTGCAAACTAGTAGTCTTTTATAAATCCAAAATCACCTGTACAGACAGTGTGGGCATCACAATTTTTATCCATTGGGGTCAATCTAAAAAAAAATTCAAAACAATGCAAATTATTTCCCTAATTTTAGAATATTTAAATGGTAATTAGTCCAATTGGAACCATAATTAAAGATTAATTTTTAAGTTGACTTATGGGGTGAGTTGACATCATTTCCTATAATTTGATGTCACCCTTATATACAAACTTCTTATGTGAGACGGGATTTTTCTAGAGAGAGAGGATGGGAGAGAATCCTATAACAAATTTTCAAATAGTTATATTTAGGTAAAATTTTGATTTATAAGGCTCTAATTATCTAGTTTTTGAATGTTTTAGTGAAGCTCGAAGACAATTTCAAAAAAAATCTTTCTCGTTTTTCTTTTTTTTTCCTTTTAAATTGTAAAAGAACATGATTATATACGGAGGGAGATTTGGTGACAACCATAGAAATCACACAATGAGGGTGGACACACTACAAGAATTTACACAATTGCCGACCACTTTTGCCGACCAAAAAAATTTTGGTCGCAAAAAAATGACATTTGGCGACCAAATATTAATTAGTCGCGAATGATCATTGCTTTTGGCGACCAAATATTATTGGTCGCAGAATGTTATATTTTGGCGACCAAAAAATGAGTTGGTCGCAGAAAGTGGTATGCTTTTGCCGACCAACTACAAATTTGGTCGCGGAAGGTCACATTTTTTTTGGCGACCAAAAATTTGGTCGCCAAAAACTTATTTTCAACAACCAAAAGAAATTAGTCGCCAAATTAGTACTTTTAGCGACTAATATTTTAGTCGCCGTTGATTGAGATTTGACGACTAAAAATATTTGTCGGCGAAGGTATTTTTTTTTTGCGACTACTATGGTCTTTTGGTCGCCAAAAATTATTTTTTTCTTTGGCGACCAAAAATTTGGTCGCCAAAAACTTATTTTCAGCGACCAAAAAAATTAGTCGCCAAATTAATACATTTAGCAACAAATATTTTAGTCGCCGTTGATTGAGATTTGGCGACTAAAAAGATTTGTCGGCGAAGGTACCTTTTCTGCGACTAATATTTTCGGCGCCAAATATTAATGAAATTTTTTTACTTTTGATCTTTGCCGACCAAAAATGTGGTCGGCAAAATACTTATTTTTAGGGACCAAAAAACATTTTGTCGGCAATAAAGTTAAACAATTTCAAAAACACAGATTCATGTTTTTGGTGGGAATACGCTCTTACATTACCGCCCAATTTATTTTCTATCAATATGTACATAGACCAAATAAGTTCAGTCTCTTGCTCTCTCTGTTTCTCCACTACTACAAAAATAGTTAAAGATCACACTTTGACAAAAAAAAAAAGATCTCATTTATTGGAAGTGTGATAAAAAAAAATTAGATTGATATTTTAATCACACTTAATTTGATTGAGTGTGATAATATTTATTTTTTATGTCACTTCTCAATTAAGTGTGATTATATATATATATATATATATTTTTAATCACACATTCTAATTAAAGTGTGATTATATATACACTACTACTTTTTAATCACAATTTTTAAACAAGTGTGATTATATATAT